ACTGGGGATCGAGCTTGGATCCTTGTGCTTGCAAGGCAGGCAGCAGCACCACTCTTAGCAGGTCTTTTTAAAGGTTGCTAAGGGCTGGGGATGTTTCTCAGTGTGAAAGCCTTGAGTTCAACCCCCAGCACCTCCCCAACTGCTCCAAATTTCTGAAAAAGGTTGTACCTTCTTGCAGACTTTTAAAACTTGATATTGGGTACATTCCATTTTAAGTTTAAATAATTAGAAAACATAATTTCTAGATATTGTAAATAACCAGCATCTTCATATTAACCTGTTAAGGGATTGTAAAAAATGTGCTCAATGTACTCCAAGTGCTGTTGTGGTACAACACCCGCTACTGTCCACATAAAGATGGCAGAGCAGGGCCGGCTTAAAAACTGGCAACGTCACGTTGCTTTTTCTCCCTGAAATGGTGTCTGTACTTGGCTTCACCCACAGAACTTTCACTGCATGTGTGCTCTTACCCTCGAAAACGTGACCAGCCCATCATAACTACAACCAGAGGAGGCACAGCAATAGAAAATGAAATTACAGGATGACCCCAGTGGCTATACATCTCCAAGCACTAAACATTTTCATCCAGAGCGAGTTATCGCTTTAATTACTTTGGTGTCGCGTCAAATATCAAAACGTCAATAGATACTTATCAAGCCTAAAAAGCAGAGCTGTCTTGGAAACGCTGCCCTGCAGGAGGCTGGGAAGAGCGGTCGTGGTGCTTTGATGGGAAGAAAAAGCATGGCTCTGTGATGCCTCTGGTCCCTGTTTGACCGAGGAGGTTCAGCGCCCAGCACGATGTGTCACATGAAGGTTCTTCAGGGCCAGGACACAGCCCTGAGCCGGAAGGCAGGGGTGTCACCGCCTTGACCTTACGAGTCTTCCCAGGAAGGTGTGTAAAGTCTGTGTAGAGAGCAGGTGCTGAGCCCAGGAGGGGTCTGGGTCTGTAAATCTGCCCCCTCCAAAGCCTCCTCCTCTGCACATCTTGTAGAAAGTCTCTGGACTTTCAGAGTGTGTTCCCCAGGTTGAATCCTGCTCTTCGTTTTTAAAATTCTTATCAGCCCATGTTTGCGGTACATATGATTCCTGGTGTGGAGTTGGTGCATGCACAGAACGCGTCTTTATTCCTTTTTTCATCCCCTTTCCCTCCCCTCCCTCCATCTCTTGGTCCCCTTCCCATTTGAGAAAGATCTGTCTCCCTACTTCCTATCATCTGCCTTTTATTTTGCTCTTTAATTTTGGATTTCTCCTAGAGGAGAAACCATCTGATATTTGAGCTTGTGTGTCTGATTTACTTCACTTAACACTGTGCTCTCAAGGTGGGTCCATTTACCTATCAATGACTCCGACTTCTTTACTGTAGATAGCGCTCCATTGTGTGTAAATAATTACATGCTCTTTATCCATTCATCTGTTGATGGACATAGAGGCTGCTTCTAAGACTGAATCCTGCTCTTCTACAGGAGTAACAGAGATCCATGGAATTAAAAGAATTGTCATGGCTTAGATCTACAACGTCACCCAGAAGTTTCCTGTGTTCAGAGGTAGGGCTTCTGAACTGGATCATGGCGCACTCTACATCAGTGGGCGAATCCATGGACGGGTTCATGGCCGAAGGCGCTGTCAGGAGGTGGGGCTTGGTTGAAAGAGGTGGGTCACTGGGGGCATGTGTTTGCAGGGTGCATCTCCCTCTCTGGCTCCTCCCTTTCTGTCCATTTCCTGGCTGGAACAATGTGAGCAGCTTCCCTCCCCACAGGCCCTTCCATCCTGCTGTTTCTGCCTTTGGGCCAGACAACCATGGACTGGATTCCCCAAACTGTGAACCTGCCTCTTAGAACTTGTGGCTTCTAGTTAGGTGTTGTGTCTCAGCAGTGAGAAAGCAGACTGATACATTCCTTGGAAAGAAGAAAAAAGTTCCTGATTAAACAAGTCGAAAAACACTATTTAGCAAAGTGAAATAAATTCTTCACTGTGAGACTTTGAAGCATTTCTATGCTACATTAAGGTGTTTTATCGACACCCAGAGAGGAGTGTGTGTGATAGGCAGAGATCGGTCCCTCCAAAGATGTCCACATCTGCGTGCTGTGAGCATGTGGGCATCAACTGTGTGTGGCCAAAGACATGTTGCAAATGTGGTTAAGTGAAGGCTTGGCGGGGGGGTTATTCTGACTGTCCAGAGGGCTGGGTAATCACAGCACTGTTAGAAGTGAAGGAGGGAGGCAGGAGAGACAGCCAAGGTCAGGATTTCACAGCTGCAGGTGGAGGAAGAGGAATTCTGGGGCTCGGGAAGCTAGAAGAGGTGAGAGAAGGGACTCTCTGACAGGTTCCAGAAAGTCCCTTGGCTTTGCTCTTGAAATCGACCCATTTCAGGTGTTCGATCTCCAGAAATACAGGGTGGCAAATTAGTGTTTTCATCCACTAAATTGTGGTAAATTGTTATAGCAGAAATAGGAAATTAGTTGAGGTGAGAAGAGCATCACACAGCATTTTCCAAAGGGAAGACACCTGTAGTGTTCCGTTTAGTTCCCCACTTCCCTCACTTACTGGTCAGACAGACAGACAGACACACACACCTGTGCGCACATGAAGTGTCATTGCAAAATAACAGTGAAGTAAATTTTTAAAAATTATCATAGTATAAGACACATTTCTATTAATTGTGCCCCAAATTATCTCCCTTACTTTGAACACATCTACCCTCTCTCTTCAGTGCCTCTCCTTGCTCTGTCATGGCTGCCTCAATGTCCTCAATTGACTCAGAATATTTTCCTTTCTTGGTCACTGTGACTTTGGGGAAGAGCCAGGAGTCACACGGTGCCACACCTGGAGACGGCGGCTATCAGCACACAGCGTCGTGCTTCTGCAAGCTGCCCTTCTGTCGGACGGCGCTCGGCAGCAGCAGTCACTGTATTTGTGATCACACCTCGTAAAGACGCTTAGGAAAGAGCACTCCAGACTGCTGCAGAAAGTGGCCACAATGACAGGACGAGTGTGTTCAAAATGACGGGGGGAGTTTTTGAGGGGGATTCTCGGCAATGTGTTTTTACTATAAACATTTTTTAGGTGTAAACATTCACTATACATGTATCATGTCATGCAGCATGCATGGTGGGAAATAGTGGAAGGATTAAAATAAGTCAGTATAGTCTGGTCAACGAAACACACCGCGCCTAGATGGCCCCAGGGAGCAGTGGGAGAGGACCTGGCTCCCGCCCCACCCGATGAAAACAAGTGATCTGAGGCTCCGGTGCCCTGCGAAGTGGTCCTACTCAGATTTCCTGCACGTGGAGGCCTTGGCCTTGGTTTCCCCCAACCCTCTGCGGCAGCCTTCTGCAGGACCGAGTTGCTGGCCCCTCAGGGAGGGACACTGCAGGCTGGGAGAGGAGCATGGGAGCTAAAGTCGGGGTGCGTGTGACATCTGGGGAAAGAGGCCTAACTGGCGGACACAGCCTGTTGTGGGGAAACCAACACCAGGAGGGGTGTTGGGGAGACCTCTCGCTCCCACGTCCTCACTTTGGAAAAGCTCTGGTAACCATGTTTGAACAAAACCATTCTCCAGCCGGGAAAGGTGAGGGTTACTTATGCTCTCAGGATCGCTGAGAACCCGCAGCTGTCCCACAGCGCAGTGAGACGAGACAGCTGGAGCTGTGGCCCCTCACCCTGCGGGCAGCGCGGAGGGTTCCTGAGGCCAAGACGGACGCAGAGGCCGCGCCCAGGGCATGAGCTCCGTCAGGACGTTTGGAAAGGAAGCAAAGTTCCGAACCGGGCTGGGAGGACGGCAGGGGCAGCCTGTGCGAGCGGGCCCTTCACTGTGCCGGAACCCTGGGCCGGCCCGAGCTGCTGCTTGGAGAAACGATGTTGAGCCACAGTGCGAGCGATGCTTCCCGTCTCTCGGAAACACTCAGCTCTCTCGATGGTGACAGGACGCGCTGCTGGTGACCAACAGCAGGAAGATCTCACGAGGCTGGGTGAGGGGAGAACGGAGCCAGAGGAGCCTGGCACGATGATGTGGCGAGGACAAGGCAGCACGTCTGAGGGAGGTGGGGAAATGGGGACCGCAAGGACGCAGGCCCGCAGCTCCAGCATGGTCGGGCAGGGCGGAGGGGCCCAGCGCCCGCTCCCCTCGCTCCCAGGACTCGGACTTCTCGGAGCGCAGAGGGCCGCGTCAGGCTCGCACGCGTGCAGATGCCTGGTGACAGCAGATCGCACAGTGTCACTTCCCCTCCAGAGGCGGCTCGAGATGACGGCGGCCGAAAGCCCAAAAATATCAAGTAGAAGTTGAAAGAGGCCACGGCGCCCAGAGAAAAACAATCTGTAGTGCTGTTAGGGCAGGGGACACAGGGTACCAGGGGAGGCCAGGGCCGGGAGCCGAGAGGGCCCAGGCAGGGCACACTCGTGGCTCTGCCCCTGCTGGGCCGCACCTTCACTGTGCGTGGGCCGGGGACTTCAGACTGAGACCAGGCAGCCTCCGCTCAGCCGCCTCCTCCCTTCCCACTTCCTTCTCCCCCGAGTGACTGATGGGAAGAGGTGCTGGAAGGGAGGCCGGCCACGACAGTGAGGCGAAGTCGCCTCCTCTGCTTCACTTCCTGATTGCCCGGAAGTAGCTGTGGGGACTGACGACTAAGGAACCTTAAGAAGTGTTTAGAAATGTAATCCTAATATCTGTGGCTTCCAGAAAGACTGAGTTATTGCATCTTCAGGGAAGTCAAACTGGGAAACATTTTCCTTCCCTGGTGAAAAAAAATTTTTTTGCACACTTCTGGAATAGTAAAGAGAGAACCAGGAGCTGGGGGGGAGTAGAATGAAATGAAGTTGTCCCTTCGAATTAGGGACAAGCAAAACCTGGGTCTTCCCTTCCCCCCGGAGAAGTGATCAAAGCTTAGAAGCTTCTGGAAAACACTTTTTGCTGATCCAACTCCTTCACACCTGAGTTGGATGGCATTTTGGTGGGTGAAGAAAGACATTTAGGGTTACCATAAAGGGCGCCCACCGTAAAACTGGGATGACCCAGGAGGGTCAGCGAAGGGATGGCTTTTTCTGAGTGAGGGTGAAGCTGGCACAGCCTTGAGGCTGTCTTTGGGTCTGGCCTTTCCTTGACTGCAAAGGAACTAGACCCCCTGGGGGATGAGGAAAGTCTTCTAGAAAGATTCCCCGTGCAAGAAGCCAAGCTTTGTGACCCACAAGTGGGCTCACTGTGATTTAAAGGGCAGCAGCCTCTACCAGGAGCATTGGTGGGGTGCACAAAATCAAAATATTAGAACCTCTCTTTAGGTTCCCTTTCTGTAATGAGCTAATTTGAACTTTACTAATTTCCAGCACGCAGCCTGACCTCGGTCCCCACGTTGGTGGCGGGGCCCCTGAGGGTCGGGAGGGGCTCGCTGTACCCTCACTGGCTGCTCCCTCAGTTCTCCTTTATCCTGGGATATATTTATGTGCGCTTGGTTAAACAGATTCACCAATTACAGTACTTAGTGCTACTAAACTAGTGCTTGCAAAATGTACTGTGGTTCCCAAAGATTTCTGCAAGAAACAAAGCCAAGGATGGAAGCCAAGGCTCTAATTGGGCAGAACCTGCAGGGCTGACAGTTGTGCTCTCTGGCAAGAGCTTTTCCACAGCCAGACCGTGGGCTCAAAGTACTGATCCAACCAGATCTGATCACAGGAGTCATGAACATGTCAACAATTTTAGGAAGGTGATTTCCGCCACATTCCTTCCTCGCCTGGAGTGGACGTTCCCCGAGGGGGTGGGAAGCCAGGCAGTCGAACACGCAATGGTCCTGGTCTTCAGCTGGTCCCCGGGTGACGGGAGAGCAATAAGGAATGGCGCCGGTGGCTGTCCAGGGACTGGGTGAGCAGGAGGACTGTGGGATTTCTTTTAGCTCGGAGACGGGGTTGGGGGCATGACAGCGCCACCCCTGAGTGTGCAGGAGAGGCCAGTGCGGGGCAGGAAAATGAGTGAGGCCTGAGCACCAGGTGCCCAGCCCGCCTCGCAGGGCATCTCACCCTTCCTGCCTTATCTGACCGGAGCATCCGTTCTCCCACGCCAGCCCCCTCCTTTTCCAGGAAGAACAGAGATGGGAAGATGGGCTTGCTGAAACAGTTAACGGGTTAGGGACTCAGAAAGAGAACCAGGCTGTTCCTTCAAAATGCAATTCCCTCCTCGGCTCCTTAAGGAGGATTCTTGCTTTCCTTTAGAGTCAGGCTGATTTATAGACAAAGCAGAAGATGCCGTCATAGAACACACACAAGCCACTGCCCAGAAGGAACTGTTCTTAGTATTTTTCGCTCAAAGACAGAGGGAGGGAAAGCTCTCTTTGTTTTTAGCTCCCTCTCTTCTGCTCCTGCCCCTTCAGATCAAATCGCTCTCTGGATGACGATGTCTCTAGTCCGGGCCCTATTTTCACATTTTTGCCTCATTGGATGAGGACAAATGCATAGTCATTAAATGCTCAGACTTTAAGCACCTAGCAGGTGTCACTGCCCAAACCCTTCTGCAAGTCTTCACCCGCCGCCACACGCTCCTGATGACCTGGCCATCCGGTTG